TATCTGTAGGATAGCGGCGGTACATGGAATGGCAGACATTGGTTTTTGAAGCCACTACAGATCGAGATGAAGTAGAAGCCGAAGTCTACACGGTCCCGTTAGTAGATCAGCCTACGTATAAGAAATTTACCCGAATGTTGACACGCTCAAAACGGAAATCAGACGACACCAAGGATTCTGCAGAGATCGCCTCACTTTCCGACTCTAATGGTGACTCTAATGAGGAGTTGCAGGACGAATGTACGAGCGGAAAGAATAACGAAGACATGGATGATAAATTGACAATGAGATCATGTGCGGTCAATGCAGTGCGAAAGCCCCGGGACATTCGGGTGAAGAGGACATGGTTGCAGAGGAGGCTAGGACAACGAAAGACAACCATGAGGCAACTGATCCGCTACAAATACAGTCCAACTGTCAACCAGACGGGATCAAGTTTGAAGATCGGGAGGTGTATGGCCAGTCTACACGACTGGATAATGACGTGAAAGCTGTTATGATCGAAGTCGAAGTGATGCAAATGATGTAACAGATTAATCAACATACTCTTACGAGGGAGGAGAACTGTTCGTGGAAGATGTGGAACAACACATGGCTGTGCTGCCGTAGGTAACCATATCCACGACCGAGATAACAAAAGACGATGTCCAGGTTGGCGATCCTAAAATGCCATTGACAGAGGATCAAGAGGATTCGCGACGACTGATATGGAAGAGTCATCACCTGTTGATCGGGAAAGGAAATGCATTACTCCCTGCAGCACGCGGGGCCGTTTGCGATATTGCTGTGGGAGAGGCGATGCCGATCGCTCAGCGTGTACGACCTATTGCGCCAAAGTTTCGTGAGAATTTGGTCGACCTGATTAAAGGACTGTTGTCAGCCAAGATTACATGACCTTCGACATCGCCGTGGGCATCACCAATATTCGTAATTATTAAAAAGAACGGAGAAGATATACGACTGTGTATCGACTATCGACGAGTTAATCAGCTGACACAGTTGATGGTGTACCCTATGCCACTTATCAGTGAATTGTTGCGACACGTGGACATAGCAATGTGGTATTGTTCGCTGGACATGGCGAGTGGATTTTGGGTGGTAAAGATGACTGAACGAGCAAGATTGATCTCTGCGTTTATCACGCCGTCAGGGTTGTTTAAATGGTTGTGGATGCCGTTTGGATTGAAGAACGCCCCACAAATCTATTAGCGTTTAATTGATAATGCTCTATATGATTATCTCAAGATGGGTACAGATAAGGATGGGAATGCAACTCATCTTAAAATGACTGATGTGCTTACTATGGGGGAGCCGGAAACGGATCAAGCGCCATAGGTTCCGGGTAAACGATCTTTTATTAACAATATTTTGATCTCGGCTGCGTCATGGACATCTTTGTACGACAAGATCGAAAGATTATTGACAGCATGCGATCGATAGAATTTGTCGATCAGTCTGACTAAGAGTTTTTGAGGACGGCAAATTACTTAGGTCATCAGGTATCTTTGGCTGGGTTGAAGGCCAATCGCTGGTCAACATTCCTTTTCCCACAACTTTTCGATCCATGCAATCGTTTCTAAACAGCTTGAACTATTACAGTCGTCTTATAAAAGATTGTGCAGTATGTGCATCTGTGTTGTACGAGTTACGAGAGGCGGATTTTTTTTTTTTTTAGATGAGCAATAGAGGAGATTCTGATGCAATGTCGGGAAGTTGCGACAACACATTAGAAGAGGGCGAGCATGGTCCAAACGAGCGATCTCGGTGGGAAAGGGCAGCCGTTGCATTCAATTTGCTGAAGGACAAGACTGTTACAACCCTGATCCTCAAACATTTCAATATAGATCGACTTCCAGTGATCGTGGTATACGCCAGTAAATAGGCCGTATTGGCATCTTTGTTGCAAGAATATGACGGAGTGTACAAGCCGGTGACATATACGAGTCGCACACTGAAGCCTAATGAAGTTAATTATGGTATAGTGGAGAAAAAAGTTTTAGCCCTACTTCGAATCTTGGTAGTGTGCTACACCATGGTTGTATCCCGAGAGATCAGGGTACTCACTCGGTATTCGACATTAGCTTGGCTATTTAATCTTTGGCCTCAATGGGAGACTGGAAAGATGGGCTGTGCTGTTATCGAATTGGACACTGGAGGTCAAGAGATGTAACAAAGGAGGAGATGAAATACTAGGCGCTCTCGCAGCTAGCATAACTCTGCGAGATGAGGTAGATGATGTGTTGGTTGCGATCTCTCCACAGAAACAACCTAAACATTTGGCATCAATGCTACATCCTACGGTAGGTACGGATGAATGCCTGTTGTTGGTCAGTTTCGACGAATCGGCACGGACTAAACGGAAGAGCGAGGCATAAAGTGCGATTGTGCGGAAGCTATCAGAATGGCCATCGTCTCAGCCGCTTCGGAATACGCGGCAGATCTGACGGTGAATGCAGCAGAATTTCGTGGCATGTTGTTGGGTCTCGATCTGCTGGACAACCAAACTAGGGGACGAGTCATTATATGTGGAGACTCGAACCTAGTGATCAGGCAAATGCGTGGAGAGATGGATTGTAAGGCGCCCGGTCTACAGTTATTGCGTTATAAAGCAATGCAGAAACTTCGACCTTGGCCAAAACACGAGTTCCTGCACATGAAGAGGGAAAGGAACCAAAGCGCGGATCGACTATTCAGTGCAGCTTTGCAGCAAGAGGAAGGTGTCATCGTGAAATTAGATCAAAAATTGCAAGATTAGATTTCACTCAACAGGCTGCACGAGTTGCTTCTGTCGGAAAGGGCGGATCGCGTGGTGAAAAAGATAGCGATCACACGATCCGTGCGGCGAAGGCGTCAACAACCCGAAGTTTTGCAAGAAGAAAAAGTGCAGCGGATGCGGATCGAGCGGAAAAACAAGCGCAAGAGGAAGAGAGCTGGATCGCCAACCTGAAGGAATATCTTGTGGGCGACCTGACCCAGTTAAACGCAGAAGATGCAAAATTATGCGCTCGGATTGCTCCAGACTACATAGTGCACGGAAACGGATTGCTGTTCTTCAGCCCCCGATCCGCTAAAAGATCGGACAATCGTACAGAGATGGTCCGTCTGGTTGTACCGGAATTGTTGCAGCAAGATTTTTTGCACCATTACCACACAATCTTGGAGGGTGGTCACCAAGGGGTCGGGAGGACTTATCAGCGGATCAGATCCAATTTTCACTGGAGAGGATTGTATCAGAGTATACAACGTCATGTTGGCGAATGCGTGGACTGTACAACCTGGAAGGGTCTACCCGCGATCTGCGGCAGATCCATGGGAATTATACAGGATACGTACCCAATTCAGGTGATAGCGATGCATCATATCCCATCATTGCCGCGGTCATTTAAAGTAAACAAAACTCTGCTGCTGTGGGTAGATCTTTTTTCAGGATATGTGATCGCGAGAGCAAGTTCGTCGAGGACCGCGCAAACGATCGCTGAAGGATATAAATACTTTGTGTTTCGAAGATTTGGAGCCATTGAAGTTATACGTCACGACAGGGAGCCGGGATTTGTGTCCAATTTTTTTTAATATTTAATCGGATCGCAGGACAAAAGCAACGCGCGACCAAAGCGTACCGAACGCAAGCGAACGGAACTTCGGAGCGTATGGTACAGACGTTGACTCGGTCGATTAAGATGTCCGTCACGGACGTAGAACAGAAAGACTGGGATAAACATGCAGAAAGATTGACATTCGCTACGAATACGGCACAATATCATATCCGTAGAGACACTCCGTTCTATTTAATCCATGGTTGGGATCCAAAATCGCCATTGGAAGCAACATTACCGTTAGAAGGCACTAAAACACGCGATGCTGACCCTCGAAGGTGGTGATGCAACGTCCAACGTCAATATCAGAGGGCAAGAGCATTGGTAAACGAGCGTCTCAATATTGCGATCCAAGATCGAGCAGATCGACACAATGACAAATATGAAGTGTGTAAAACTAAGTGCGGATCGCAAGTTTGGCTTTACTTGGACCTGGTCGAAGACGGCTATGCTCGAAAGTTAGCACATATTTGGCATGGACCGCTCTGAGTGGCGGAGTTATGTAGGGAACATGCTGTTCGGGTGGAGCTTTCAAGAACTCCGTACCGATTGTTCCCGATCGAGCACGTCTCCAAATTAAAGCCAGTTGGATAGTTTCCCGATCGCATAGAAAGTGTGCTAGTGACTAACAGTGAGGACCGTGTGGATTTCGATGAGTTGTTCTTGCCGGAAGATAGTTGGGAAAACGAGTTGGCTGCCGGCGAATACGAAGTGGAGAAAATTTTGGATGTACGATGAGGTTGTAAAACTCGTTATGGTCGAGTGCATCGACAGTTTTTGGTTCAATGGAAGCAACACGACGACCCGAACTGGATAGACGAAGCAGACCTGACCTGTGGCGCGTTGTTGCAAGATTCCGAGCGCAATCGTGCTAGTCAAAACCGGTTCAAAGTTATGCAGTCCTATGAGGAGGAAACCGAAGCTTAATGAGAAATTGAAGCAATGGGCGGTCGGCGCACGCTATAAGGTGGACGTAAAATTGTAAATGGGCATATGTACAAGGAGTTGTATGAGGTGATGGATCGGGGCTGCATGAAAAATGAGTGGCGATACTTGATCTAAGGGATCCGATCGTGGTTGAAAAGCCGAAGAAAAGAATTGGATCTCAATACGAAGAACAAGATGAAGGATCAAGAGAGATTTTATTTTATTAAGGAACTAGCTGAATCAATCCTGGCGACCAAGCAGGAATAAACTTACCTGGCTATGGCACAACTGATGATCCGGGGTGGTGAGCGATAGAGGATCGATACTGAGAGCGCCAAGGTTCAGCGGCATCCAGCAACGGGAGAGCAGCGATCAAAATTGGAGATGCCCTTCGGTGTGCATCCCAGGCCAGGATAACAAGAGGAAACCTCTTTGAAAGAAGGGAAGTGCAGAAAGAAGGGATCCAACACAATATCCAGGTCACAATGACCTGCGATCATACCTTGCAAGATGAATCGAAGGATCGCCTTCCACCGAGGCCCAGATCGCGACCGACGCTGCTTCCGCCGTTTCCAGCTCAGGAATGCTGACCCGCTGTTCAATGGAAATGAAGATCGTGTGTGTCGACTCCCCCAAAGCCTGTCGGTTTCGATCCTCAAACTCCAAGTACAGAGAGGCGAGGTAATCGAACCAGCCGGTACGAGGGAAGGAGATCGACGCAATCCGACGTGTGGCTGTCTCCCAAGGCTCTTGGGCGGATAAGGCCGTGATCTGGTCAGAGCACGCCAGCCGAGGTTTCCACTCAGATGTGGGAGGCGGCCACTTGGGCGCCATAACTGTCGGGAAGATATAGCCTTTGGGACGGGATAAGTGGCGGTACAGGAAGTCAATGTCCATCTCCTTGACGCTCGTCCACCTGACCTTGCGTGCCGACCAGGGAGAAACCATAGTGAACGATCGCGGTACGCGATCTCGATATCCAGGGATCCACTGGTTGCGAGAGACCTTGGTAGGGGACAATCTATCATAACTCGCCAGGAATAACATCGGATTGACGTAATCACGTGGCGAATCAGAGAGGCTGATGGCACCATCCGAGTCACTGGACGCTTCTCCGAAAAGGTCTGCGCGAGATACCTTGGTAAGGGTAGGAATAACAGGATTAACCGGACGTTGAGGATCGTGCGAAGGGCTCGGCGGATCTATGACGATCGGATCCGGAGAAGGCCCAGATGAAGGTTTTGCCGCCGGATTGGACGCTCGACGACGACTAAAGGACCGCCAAACAGATAAAGCCGCTAAAGTCTTACCCTCACCTGCCGACAAATCCTCCCCCTCAGACGAGGTTGAGCTCGGACCACGGCGCTTCTACTTGCCCAGTTTCGGGGTAGCTGCAGGCTTCGCCGGCGATTTTTGAGATCGCGACGATCCTTAGGATCACAAGTGTCCTTGAAAGCGGACGAAGGCTTGGGATCGCAAATGGAGACGGCTTGGCTTTAGCAGTAGCGAATCGTGCCACCTTGGGATCACGAACTGGGGACGGCTTGGCTTTGGACGCAGCGGATCGTGTACCTTAGATCGCAAACTGGGGACGGCTTGGCTTTGAACGCAGCGGATCGTGTACCTTGGGATCGCAAACTGGGGAAGGCTTGGCTTTGGACGCAGCGGATCGTGTCGCTTGCTATAAAGGTGGCAAAGTTGACGATGGTAGGGAATCGCCAGATCGCTTGCGACTCGATCCTGAAATGTTCGACATCGGCTGAGGAGTCACGGGAACGGGCGTGTAGGTAGACGATTCCACCTATGTAGGTGTGGCTGAAGTATCTTCAGACACCAGCGAGGCCATGCGATCCCGAAGGGCCGTGTGATCTCGTATTGCGCGATCACGTTGGGCAGCCATGTCCGCGAGCTGAACTCGCATCTGGACCAACGTAACGTCACGATACGATACGGTGCGACGCTATTGACTAATACCAGCAGATAGGGCGCATAAAGAATCCTGCGCCTCCCCAGTTCGGCCTATAGCCTGACACCTGCTTGAGCGCGCGACACAGCTTTCCTGGTCGGCCTGGAGCCCCGCTACTTGTTTGAGTGCACGACGCAGCTTCTCTTGGTGTTGAAAGGCCGTTTTTTCTGTACTTCGACTTCTTGCTGTTGGCCTTGTCTAGGCTGTGGAACAACTTATCGAATTCAGCCACCAATTGTTCTCCCGCCTCGTCCATCTGCTTGCTTATCTCGGCGATCTCACGATCGTCTTTCTCCTTTGCGGCATGACGTTGTCGCACAGTCCAGAGAATTTCAGATTTTAAGTGTTCGATCAAGACGGTCTCGTCGACTTGGTCGGCCTACGCCTCATGAAAGGCTTTGGACCTCTTGATCTCGTCTTCATAGCGAGCGCGCAAGCGGTCGAACTTCGATTGGACGGACTGAACGAAAGGGGACGCGGAGGTGCGGACCTCCTGAAGGTCCTCATTCAGCTGGCGATTCTGGATCATCTGCTGCTCCAAAGCAGCCTCCATGCTCTGGTACCGATTCACGACAATCTGTTGGAGAGTCAGGCGAAGGTAAAGCGAAGAAATCGCTGCGTTTAGCGCGGCTCGATCAAACTAACCCGAGGCTTCGATCCGAGTACTTGGGAGCAAAAATGGGCTCACTTGAATCCGGAGTTGGGACGTTTTGGCCGGCGGAGGTCCTGTCCGGAGCGGAGATCGAAGATTATCGCGACAGAGGGATCGCGATGGAAAACCAACCAGAGCCTTCATCCATAAGGGCCGACGTTACCACATTCGAGCGATCACACCCGGTCACCGGCACGGTGGAGACGTCTTAGATCGCAGGACTGGTAGGCGTCGAGGTTTCGACATCTGAAGTTAAGATTGCAGAGGGCGATCCGAGGGGCCTCGATCCTTTAGAAGGATGAGGTACCTGATCCGGGTGGGCTGGATCGGACATCGTGTCAGAAGATGCGAAAGTTCGTGAAACGGAATAAAGCACACAAGGTTGCACAGCCAGATCAACACCGTATGATGACTGACGGTGCAGGGGACGGTTGTGGCAAAGCGGTCACAAGAATTTTTTTTTATTGGGACTTGGATCGGCGATCGCACGGATCGCACGCTCCAGTTAAGCCAAGAATGCTATGATTGGTGGATACAGGCCGGGGCGGGTAGCTGGCAATAGCGTATCCAAACCCCAAGTGGACAGGATCATACATCCTGGGACGAGGCTATAGGGTGGTCACACCCGTTTTAATTATGCAATCCGTCATGAGACATGGCAAGACAAGATCTTCTATCTCACTGGAAGACCGCGATCCTGACCCAGGATCGCAAGTTCGATCTCCAGCTGCGATCCGCTAGTAGATTCACGACTCGCTAGTAGGGTCACGATCCGCTAGCAGGATCATGGGGATATCCTGGGTGGGCCACAAGAAGATGCAACTGCTGTTATACTGGTTGTGGACCACACAGATGCGAGGGGACGATCTTCCTGGAAAGGCGACGCGTGGAATCTGGCCAGGATATTCGGATAGGCATAGGGGTAGGGTTTTGGTTGGTTGGTTAACATTAAATAGAGTTCAATTTACTTCACAAGGTACACGTTATCTCTTCCGGGTAGGATATTTGTCCCCCCGTCGAATAAAGAGTGGCGCTACACGTCTACGCAAGTATCACACCCTGATTGTTTTGGCCAGGTGTGTTTAAGAACTCTCAAGCAACATCAACTGCGATCGGACGCAGCAAAACAAGCAAAGGCAAGGCGCAAGATCGCGAGACGGCTCAAGTGGTCAGAAGGCTCGCGGATCAAGCAACCTCATAGTGGACAAGGCGATCTCGTTGAGATCAGGGTAACTTACATCAGTACCCACAAGTACCCCGTGATTGCGTGAAAAGATTTCCGCACGATCACAACCCTATCCCCAACACGGTCAAGTTTTCCTTCGATACGAGTCCACCTGCAAGAGTGCAACCCGCCCAATCGACGGGTACACAAGGTGAGGAAGGCAACACACACGGAATCAGAGTACCCCCTCCGTTAGTCGGTCGTCCGGGCGCCAGTGGAGAGTTGGGATCGACTCATAAATGAGCGATCGCCACTCCACCACAGAAGCGGAACGTACTCCGCTAAGTGACATTAGTAGTGAAATCAAAGTACTGAATACTGAAAGATTTGTTGACCTATCGTCAATTCATCGACGGTTCCCATAAGATAAGCGTGAAGTGGAACTTAAGTACCCACTGAATGACGTCACCTGTTATAGCGACGCGCTGAATGTCGACATTGACGTTGTTGGTGAAATTCTAAGGCATCCTGAGCCCGACTCAGCCAATACACGTATAGTTGCACATTATCTACAGAATGACGATGTCAAGTCAAAGGACCCGGCATTGGACCATAGTAATGACATCAGTCTAGTTTAGAGCAAATTAGGTTCGATGATGATATGAATCAGATAGATACATTTCACAGACCGTGTGGCACTCGTCAACGGAGTCACTGGTTACTGTGATGGTACAGTTATCCTTGAGACTGTATCGTACATAAAGTTTCTGTTTAGAACTCAAATACTTGTCTCTCGATGATTTCCATCATTCGCTAAGGAATGGAAACCTTTCAGAGATGATGGTCATTCTACCCGAAATTATAGAGCTAAACGCTTCTTCACTTTTCGATGGATCCGTTCTGGAGGGCACAAAAGCAGCATTTAGTGCTCGTAATGGGTCATCAACACTAAAAGACCCGATGATCCTGTTAATTATTTAAAGAAAAAAATTAATGATGTGGTGTGCCACGACCGACCCTCTGTTTTATTTCCAGATAGAGGTATCCTTGATAAAATTTAATCATTTCCTAATACAAAATGATGTGTCACAAGGTAGTGGCCTATGCCTGATTGGCAATTTGATATCATCCATGACTTCTTCCGCGTTAAGCACAAGGCGGGAATCTTACGTGAGAGTAACTCTCCACATTCGACACCGACACGACGTGTCAAAAAGCCAAACGGAAAGTGGCGTATTTTGCATGTTAAAAAAGATCAAATCGGCTAGTATTTTTTTTTAATTTACAGCACATTAAATTCATTCCTCAACAGAATGTATCACAAATTAACATCGTTGGTCGTATCGTGTATAGCGTACTCGACTTGGTCGATGGATATCGTCATGTGCTCACACAAGCCAGTGATTATCGCTTGCAGCAGTGAGTACCCCGAATGGTATGATTTGTGAATGGCTGTTACTGCCCCAAAGGCTTTCTAATGCTGCGGCTACATTTTATCGTCTTTTAACGCAACTTTTTGCCTACATCGGAATCACGCACAGAGGTAATTTAATGATATCTTTGTCCATAACCACGCCAAACGAATTCGGTTGACTGTTGACAACTAGGTAGGTAACTCGCGAGCTGTGCGAGAGTGTATGCGCACGAACAAGCTGTACTTCAATGCATTTTGATGTATATTTGGTGCAAAGGAGACTCCAATACAGGATGTTTTATTGGTAAGCGCAATCTTAAAGTAAATCCCGCTAAGGCCAATAATATAGTTAGCTAGTCGATTTATTAAAAGTAAAAGGACTTGCACAAGTAGCTTGGCCTTACACAAATACATTATTAATGACGCTCATGTGGCTCAGCCATTGATTGATCTCTTAATCAAGGAAGTAGATTGGCTCTGGTGCAAAAATCGTGCTGACGCATTTTAGTCAATCAAGGGGAGCCTCCTGCGTGATCCCATTTTATTATTTTTTAAAATCTGGATTATTCTTTTAGTGTTATCTTCGATGCATTCAAAGTTGCTACATTCAGCGCTCTCTTTAAAATTAGATGTGGCAGTCCGAGAGCGTGTTATCGAATTTGAAGCTCGTCAGCTGAAAGCTGCTGTAAGAGATATATCTGGTTCATGACAAAGGGCTTCTTGCTATGGAGATTGTGCTCGGCAAATTTAAATTTTTTTTTGATGGCTCATGAGCCATTAGTCATCTACACGGATCATCGATCATTGAGCACGGCGACACAGTCACCTCACCTCTCTCAGATAATAGCTTGGTGTCTTTCCATCTTTATAGAATATAATTTCGAGGTAGAGTATTAGCCGGACATGTAGAATGTGTTGAAAGATATCCTATATCACTGACCTCACGTCCCGACTCAGTCGATATCTCTTTAGGAGCTCATTTGAGGTCTATCCACAAGATCCTTAATTTGCGGCAATTTTATGCCCTTGGTAGTGAGGAGTACAAGGACACGTACAGTCAATTATCGACACGCTCGCTGACCAGACTAAATCAAAATCCCATGGATCATTGCCTCTTGTGTTATTGCACAGACGAAGCGGGTACCGCTGTCATTGTTGTGCCTCATAAAAAGAATGAAGTGTACCAAATCCTCTTTGAGACCCACGATACCCTCAGTGATCATTTGGGCAGGGAAGAGACTTATGGCTCTGTGCGTAAACATTAATGGTTGCACGAGCTCTACAAATGGAAGATCACATAAGTGCGTTCATGCAAATTGCCAGCAAGTTAAATCCTCGGCACATTCTGCTGTGCCACTTGCCAGTTTACCTGTGCCCACGGGTTTAAAAAGTCCACCAGTGTGGATTTTGTCCTAATCCTTTTTTAAGACTGTGACGGCAATACGAGGATTTTGTCATTGTCGACCGTTTAAGCAAGACGGATCACCTGGCGGCGGTGCCACATTACATCGATGGCAAATTTACAGCTCTGCTGTATATCAATCGTGTATTCAATAAGGGTAACCGCTGGCAATCATCGCTGGTCGCGATCCTGGCTACACAGTCAAGTTTTTTACTTTCAAATTCAAGGTTCTTGGCAAGCGATTGGACGTGTCCACAGCGGATCATCCGTAGACAGATGATCGGACTAAGCCAGTCGATCGCGTCATTGACGACGTTCTGCTCAGGTTTTGTGCTGAGTTGCCTAAGACTTAAGATTTTGTCGCCCTGTTTTTGAGTTTGCGCTGAACGACGCTGTTCATTCCTTGACCAAATCTGCTCTAATCTATGTTAATAGACTTACGCACCTTCGCTTTTATCGCTCACTTTACCACTACGTCGTTCTGGGCAGGGTCGGGGGGAGCCCGCTGACAAGATTACTGAAATCAGGCCTACCACGATGCAGAACAAGTGGGCGACTTTCTCGCGATGCGTTTTTAGCGTCTTATGACATGTGAGTGATGCAATCGATGATAGCCAGAATAACCACAAAGAAAGCTGATACTTAAGGCATAGGCTTCAGTAAATTAATATGAAGTTGGAGTCCAATTCATATATAGTAATAAAAACATACCTACAAATGTAATGTCTGCCCTCTTTAAGAAGAAATTGCGTCCGCTGTTTATTTGTCCGTTTAAATTTATAGAGAAAAAAGGCCTTGCCTATACACTTAATCTCCCGTGCAAGTTGCGCACGAACCCATCGATTTACAATATCCTGCTTCTGACATTCCATTTTGCCTTTTTCGTGTACAAGTCAGCGCTTGCGCCTGAGAAAAAGACT